GAAAGATTCCCACTTTATGAGTTGATGTCAAATACTGCAGCATTACCTGAGTACTGTAGGTTTCCCATACAGAAGGAAGTTAAGGCACTTTTCATACCACAGCTAAAACTCCTGCTAAGCAGGTATGTACATCTTCAACTAACACAGGCTTCACAGCTTGGCCTGAATCATGTTCCACTATTACATCAGAAGGAATATAAATAAGGTTGAAACAGGACAGGGAGGAATTCTCCAGCTCAAATGTAGTCTTGGAGTCAGACTTTGGTATCCTATAATCACATTCAGTTTTCAATTGTCATCTTAACATATTTGCCTATTCCACACCTTTGCTACTTCTGTGGGAGAGATTCCTCAGTCACCCAGCTCCAAGACAGAGTTAAATAGTCAGGTTATATGGTTTGTGGATCACTACCCTGTGTCACCAAGCCCCCACTTGGACCATGTAGAAGATTTCAGACAGAGGCTGTCCACATCTGAAGATAACCTGATTAGCCAAATCCTCTCCTGTTACATCAGCTTACATGGAAGGCAGGACAGTAGCCTGCATATCTGAACCCATGGACTAATGACTTCTGCAAAAGAATTAGTTTTAGGGAAAACTGGTGTTTAACCTTGGCCAGCTAACCCAGAGATTTTGCTCCAGACAGCTTCAGGTAAAAGGCTGACTCCACAGAAAGCTGCAAGACAGGGACTGCAGCTCTCTTTGTGGGAGGACAAAGCAACACCAGGGCAACAACCACACAGGTTCTGACAGAGAAGTGGCAGGTTCCTCATGCTATGGCACACCCTTTTTGGGCATCTCTTCCTCTTCCAGGTTACAGCATCTCTACGTTAATGGGCCATGCTAAGTCTAACTATAGGAGAAAAGTAACTCAAATAGCCTTTGGTTTTAAAGGTGTTGCATCTTTTCTTAAGGATAATACAAGGTTAGTTCATGTTGCCTCTTGTAACACCAACTTTAGAGCCCTGAAAAAATGTAGCTAACTAATCTTCCAGCAAAAGCTCAAGCACATTCTAGTCTTCTTGTATTCTGGGGAAAATACGCACCATTAGCTCTTCAAATAGCAATGCCTTAAGGACAAGAACTCATCTAATTGTAGCATAATTATTTTATTCAGCTATCTTTCTCAGAAAGAAATTCTGTCTCCTGGACTACTGACTACTTGCATATATAGTTAACGAATGTACATAGTGTTTGGACACTACCAAATGTCTCAAAGAAGTTTATTCCGATTATTTAACATGATTTACACCGTTACTGAAGAGGCAGTAAAATGGCAAAGACTTGCAATTCACTTTTGTTGTCTTTAATATTCTTCACCTTCATCTTCTCCATCCATCGAGTCTGTGCCCACTTCTTCATAATCTTTCTCAAGTGCAGCCAAATCTTCCCGAGCCTCTGAGAACTCCCCCTCCTCCATCCCTTCTCCAACATACCAGTGAACAAAGGCACGTTTGGCATACATCAGATCAAACTTGTGGTCTAGACGAGCCCATGCCTCAGCAATGGCTGTAGTGTTGCTCAGCATGCACACCGCCCGCTGGACTTTGGCTAGGTCACCACCAGGAACCACTGTCGGTGGCTGGTAATTGATGCCAACCTACATGAAAAGCAGAAGAGACCATGAGCTTCTTTGTAGCATTTGAGCGACTATAATCAAAGAAGTCAGAAAGTAGTTGAATAAAATGCTTCACTCCTGAGAAAACAGCTCTGTAGAAGAACTTAAGCCTCCGTTTCTCAAAATACAAATCAGGTACCTACAGAACATCTTAACATCCATTAAAAAAATCATGATATAACTGATACTTGCCTTAAAACCAGTAGGGCACCAGTCCACAAACTGGATTGTGCGCTTAGTTTTGATAGCAGCAATAGCAGCATTGACATCCTTGGGGACAACATCCCCACGATACAGCATACAACAGGCCATGTACTTGCCATGGCGAGGGTCACACTTCACCATCTGATTGGATGGCTCAAAGCAAGCATTGGTTATCTCAGACACAGAGAGTTGCTCATGATAGGCTTTCTCTGCTGAAATAATTGGGGAATATGTTACCAACGGGAAGTGGATACGTGGGTAAGGCACCAAGTTAGTTTGAAATTCAGTAAGATCCACATTTAAGGCACCATCAAATCTGAGGGAAGCAGTAATAGAAGAGACTATCTGACCAATAAGGCGATTGAGATTGGTGTAGGTTGGGCGTTCAATGTCCAGATTCCTACGGCAAATGTCATAGATGGCCTCATTGTCCACCATAAAGGCACAGTCGGAATGCTCCAGAGTGGTGTGGGTAGTCAGGATGGAGTTGTATGGCTCAACAACAGCTGTTGAGACCTGTGGTGCAGGGTAGATGGCAAATTCCAATTTTGATTTTTTCCCATAGTCAACTGACAGGCGCTCCATCAGCAGAGAAGTAAAACCTGAGCCAGTGCCTCCCCCAAAGCTGTGGAAAATCAGGAAACCCTGCAAGCCAGTGCATTGATCCGACTGAAAGAGAAAATACATGTGTTAAAGCAATTGTGTAAGCATTAAGAATCCCAAAACAAGCTCAAGTCAGGCAACTCTGAATTCTGATACATACCAGCTATCCAAGCTTCAGGAAACTAATACTGAATTTCATTCATCCACTGATAATCAAGGAACTGCCCCATAAAAAGCATTGTATTCTTGGCCATTTTAAGCCCCCTGCATACGGGGGGGGGGCAGCCTCTCCACATTACTACCTCAAAACTTCCCCTATCCCCAACTCTCAGGCCAAGGCCATTAACAATGACCAAGAAAAGCAATCAAAGAACTAGAGACCATCCATCCATCCCTTATACTGATTTGACATTCTCTACCTGCACAAAAATGGAGCAATCCCCTGTCCCAGAACTATTGCTATAATCCTCCAAGAGTTGCAAGCAGGTAACTCAGTTCAGGGAAGTGATCTGTCAGCATGTATTACACTGCCACTCCAGTTTAGTCTTCTCAGATGAAGAAATTAGACTGCTTTGTTCTCAGAAAGTGCCCCATGATGCTTAGCTTGATTCCCAGGACTGACAGGGACTTCCAACAGCTTGTAAAAAGAAATTATGACCGTATTTTTCAGGTCAAACTACAGCCTGCTGCAAACTTACTTATCTTAGCTTTGGAGACAGTGGCAGCCTAGTGTTGAGAATAGTACCAGTTTTGATCTGCAAAAGGTGTACATTTCAGTAAGACTCATTTAGCATTCCGTATTAAATGGAATATATCCAGAGGTATAACGTGGATTTTTTGTGTAATAAGAATTCCTTACATTTGTGACACAGATTTGGTAAAGTACATGCTTAGCAGCCCTAAAAGGGGAACTCAAACCTTCTAAGCCGATCATGTGGCAAATTTATGAAGATGTCTAAGTACTGAGGACCCTGAAACATCCCAACTTACTGATATTTATTCCTTCTACTGTTATTATCATAAAATTAATTCAGAAATTATAACAGCAGGAAATGCAAACAAAAGTCTAAACCACAGAAGCAAACAGTCCTATTTAAACTCCCTTGCAAGAGCCCCAGCCAGAGACCAATCCTGTTCCAGCAGAGCTATGCAAATCAAAGTTTAGTCCTGGCTTTCTGAAGTTGAACATAAAGCTACAAAGTTTTGGGCACCTCATCAGCATTTTAGGCCACTTGAAAGTCTTATCTGACAGGAATAATCCAACTATTCTCAGCTGGCTAAGAATAAGAACAAATGCAGACTAAGCCCACAGATTCTCCTACTATGGAATAAATTAAAGCACAATTTATAGGCCCATGTATTTTTGATAACCTAATTTCCAAACCCTGTAAAACAGGATAAGGAAAGATGTTTAAGAGCCTTCAGCAAAGAAAAGTCTTACCAGTTTCCTGATACGCTCTAGAACTAGATCAATTATCTCCTTCCCAACTGTGTAATGACCTCGAGCATAGTTATTTGCAGCATCTTCTTTACCAGATATCAGTTGTTCAGGATGAAAGAGTTGCTTGTATGTCCCATTCCTAACTTCATCTGGGGAGACAAGATGAATATTATTTGTAAGACATTAGCTTTCCATGTAGACCAGGTTTTTCAAACTTCTAAGGGTGTCCAGAGTAAGGTACCTAAACCCTTACAGATAAAAAGCAGCTTGATTTCTACCCATCAGAAAGTGACACAATACTTAGTACAGTCTAAATGTTGAATATCTAAGAGAAATGAAGTTATTGCTTAAGAAACTGCCCATTTTTCACCTAAGGTTAAATTTTTGACCTGACAGAGCCATTTAAAAGTGGACTGTAGCAGCAGAATCATTCTTCCACAGTTTAAGATAACTTAAGGCCCACTTTGCAGATCAGCATCTGAAATACTGCTTTCCCCCCTTATTTTCCAAGCCCTCCAAGATGTTGCCTTATTGCTTCTGCAGCTGTAGGCAGTCAGAGCTTACACTGCTTGCTCGTCCCCTTTTTGTACTCTCTACCCTTGGCAGAAAGTAATGTTCAAAAAGAACAGGAGATGCTCTTGTAGAGATGTTCAGTTATTCAAATACTGAGCTGTATGCTCCAGCACGAATGGCTGTTATAAAGAAACCATGCAAGTGAACAGACGGCATCCCCCACCAGCTACAGATTTGGAGAATGATTTAGAGTTACCTCCACTAGTTATCAGAAATATGCACTTACATCTAGCAGGCTAAAGCTCTGTCCTACCACAAAGGTACAAAGACGCTCATCACAGCTTTGTCTCTGGTTTAGCTCAAACCGTTCTCAAGTTGTATGCTAATGCAGTACTGCATCCTTTAATTAAAATCAGGTGGAAAGCAAAAAGCTTTATCAACTGCAGATGAAGTTGCCTGTTTGCATATATTCTTTTTAATCTGCCAAAGAGTGAGCAAGATAAGTAGAATTCCAAGATTTAAAAATACAGTTACTATTTGAACCAATTTAGACTGAGCAGCTAGCACTGCAGTTTGCAATCCAATACTCTATAAAGTATTTCCAAGCTGCACCAAAATAAAAACAATTTGGAGAAGGCTACAATTCAAAATATGTATGTTTCTAAGACTTTCTGCACTACCACTCCAAGTTATAAAGGAAAAATATGGGTAAAAAGGAAAAATATAGAACCTAAAGAAAAATATAGCTGGTAGAGGCAACATGAGTCAAGATGGTCCTGGTGAAATAACAAAACTTGAAGAGTTAAGAGGATCAGTCATTGGCTACGAAAGTGTGTTGGAATAAAGAACTGAGTTTAGGGGACAGCTAAATCAAGCTTTCCCCTGGACATGCTATCCTTCATGTTTTTAAGTCTAACTGGGTTAGATTTTTAAAGATACTTGTGTTGAATTCCCAGACATTTTACTGCCCTATTTCTTGGTGGAAAGTTTGATGGTATTTTACCACATCCACAGAGCTGGTGTACATGTACAGCAGTCCTGCTGCTTTCACCAAGACCAGCACTGCTCTGGAAGCTCCAGAAATCCCTGGTGTGTACACATGGCAGCTACAGAGCTGCTGTATGCACAATAGATTTTTTTTTTTTCATAAACACAGGGCAGAGGGACATGCTGCATGAATGGGAAGAGTCATGCTCACCCTGCCCAGGAAACCAGATCAATAATTTTCAAATAAGCAGGGCAGGAATAAAGAAAGGTGGCTAGCCCCCAGCAAGGCACGTGATATAACCTTTGACAAAACCCTGTCTTTTTTTAGTATTACAAGGTATTTCATAAGACAGCCTTTTGCCCATCTCCCATACCACATCTGCATCATTAACAAGTGCTGGAACACTACCTTTCACCATTTGTCCCAAGACTCACCAGCCACTCACTCCCAGAGGCAAGGTGAGAGCTTTGCCACCTGCTCTCCCCTCACCTCATTTCTCAGCCTTTTCTGGTTGCTGAGAGCCACCACCTGGCCAGCAGCAGAGGAAGCAACAGCAAGAGCCATGGGGCTCAAGAAAACAGAAAGCCAGACTTGCAGCAGCTCCTGGAGAGATTAGTGTATGGCCAAGGGTGCTTTGGTTCATTTTAAAGTTATCAGTCCAGCATTCCTAACCCTTGACCTGCCCAACAGCCTTCCACTCTCTTGCAGAAGTTCATTCTACTGTATTAGCAACAGAAGGTGGTTTGGGGTGTTACAATGAAAACAAGTTACAAGAGACTCACTGTTTGGGTATACAAGAGTAGCCTAAGCCTATCCACTCACCTCCCCTTCCCAACTCCAATATATTGCAGAAAGATAAACACAGTCACTGCACAACCACAGGCAACACAGACCTCCTCTTCTATGAGCACCCCAAATCACTACTTAAGGCAAGACAGCCACAAAACCAGCTCCAGCAGAATTACTTAAGGCACACACATTGGTGAGAGCAAAACAGATTCATGACACAAGGAACAAGGGTCTTGTAAAACCAGGGAGCTCACACCAGGCTGGCAGTGTAGCCAATGCCACAGAATGTGGGATTGGTCAGTGGCTGATACATGGGATCACACCTGAACACTAAGAGCCAGTGTTGCCAGAGCTTGGGATACAACTGATTTTCAGGATAAGAATGGATTGTTATTCAAAGATAAGGCAGCAGGAAGTTGAAGTGCATGTTTCAAAGTCCCTGAATTTAGGCTAGCAATTGATACTAATTTCTGCAAGCACTATTCAAGCTACAGAGAGTAGAAGATTGTTTGGGGAAAGCACAGGAATCATTCCAATGTACAAAAAGAAATCTGCTTAATGATACATTTCACATCTTTTTAAAAGGTTCCTATTGACTGCTGTACACATTATGCCATATTGTTTCAAGAGGTTATAACTAGTTCCTTGCATAGCAAAAGCATGAGGCATGTTCAGAAGACCCATTTATTCCAGAAGCTGGCAGAATGTAGTATTTAAATTCTTTAGAGCTCCGGAGTGCGCATTTGCCAGTCTAAGTGAACGTAAAGCCAAGTACTTTCCATCACTAGGAAGGTGTAGGCAAGCTTTATGCAGTAAAAATTTAAAGCCCCAAACCATTTTGCAGGACTAGAGAAATGGATCCCTTAGTCAAAACACATGCAAGTTAAATCAAATCCTACAGCCTGTTCTACAGTCCCTTGCACAGCTCACTGTATTTACCTATTACTGCTGGTTCAAGGTCCACAAACACAGCTCGAGGTACATGTTTTCCTGCACTGGTCTCACTGAAGAATGTGTTAAAGGAATCATCACCTCCACCGATGGTTTTATCGCTTGGCATGGTACCATTGGGCTGGATGCCATGCTCCAGGCAGTAGAGCTCCCAGCATGCATTGCCGATCTGCACACCAGCTTGACCAACATGGACTGAGATGCACTCACGCTGTGTGGAGAAAAAAATTGGATCACTCAGCAGAAACAACAGTTTCTTTGTTTAGAAAACATTTAGCACACACAGCTTGAACTTCCACACTGCAAAGCTATTAAAACATTGGCCTTATTGTCTTGGTGTTAGGGGCATTTGGCACAAAATACAGCAGAACACAAAAGCCTCTTTCAGTCATCATCTACCTCCACCTAGAAAGACCCTTTTGGGCATTGTCATTTTTACAAACTCATTCCTCCTTGTTGTTCCTATCCTCAACCAGATAGGAAGAGTTTGATCAACTCTTCCAAATCCTTCAGCCAACTCCCCTCTTCATAACACACACAGAATATTTAGAAAAAGTGATGACTACATCTGTCACTGGCCTAAATGTCCAGAAAAACTTCACCCCAGAACTCCAGCCCCAGGAGCCACATAAGCACAGCCACCAGAGGGAGCAAAGCCTTCTGCAAGATCCAGGGCCATTTTGTTTAATATGCATAAAATCATAAAAAAATACTCTCCTGATCACTTCAGGAAACTTTGCCATTCTGTAAGAAAGTCTTTGCTTAACAAAACCCTTAGTATCACTTCATAAATATGGAACACCAGGCCTCACATCACACTGCTGTACGCAAAATACTAAACTCCTTAACTCTAGACAAAACCCTACCTCATTTCAGCTATGTACAAAACAGTTCATGTCAGCAAAAGGATCTATTCATACCGATTTATGGATTCCCAAGTTGCCTTTGATGTCCAGAGCAAAAACCCAGCTTCCTTAATATTTCAGCACAGGGTTTTGAATATTAAAAGCCAAACCACAATGGAACCACCTCCAAACTCCTGGCTCATCTGTGGCATTTTATATTTCACTTCTAGTTTTAAGTGACAGAGTTAAACACATTCTAGAAGAGCCTACATATAGTACAGTTTTGAATAACAGTCACATTTAACTATGTTCAGACCCTATGACTGGACAGTACAATTAATCTGTCCCCCGAAATTCCAGGATAAGCAGGACCTGGAACTGCCTAGTCCACATCAATAGTCAATGCAGGAAAGCAGGAGCACAGTCCTTTCAATTTCCTTGGGAATCCCAAGAAATTAACATCTATATTTGCCAAAAAACCCATCACCTGTTCTCAACCACAGCACTGAACAGCTGAGAATTGATTTCTTCAGCTCCCCATTCAAGCTGTGCATGTGTGTATATATATACACACACAGCTTCCAGAATAGCAATCCACATCCTCTCTGCAACCACCCTTACTCAAAGCTGCTGCCACACTACTCCATCACTCTCCAGGCCAAAGCACTGGGCTTGGCAAGGTACTGCAATGGTAGAGGACAGCTAACCTATACAGAGCAGCAGGAAAAGCAGCTTCAGAATACAGCCCAACAAGGCTGCATTGTGGCTGAGAAGCCAGGCCATGGTAATGAATCCACACCATCCTTTCAGGAAAGCAGGAGGACAGCCTGCAACGCTCTTCTACAGTGAGAAGAGAAAAAGTAGAAATATACCACCACTTCAGTCTGGATCCTCACCTGTATTGAGATCCTACCAGTGATCCAAGCTTTGTTAGTGAAGGTCCTAAGCAGCTGGGGAAGGTCACTGAAAGGAAGTGTCTAGGGACCTGCATGCCCAAGCAAGGTAAATGCATGGAAAACATCAGACCATATTTGAGCTTTCCAGCATCAAATGAACTAGCACCACTACTTCAAACTACACAAAGCAACAACAACCATTCATGTTCCAAAGAGAAAATTTAAGTCTTTGAAAGAACAACTCAGGCAACACAGCCACAGACCAGGTCCTACAGGTGCCACATTAAAAGCCTGGCATGTTTAGTTTGACAAAGCACAAAGTTCAGCACTTGAGGCAAAAGTAACTCTCTGCATCAGTACAAAGAAGCAATTCACTGAGAAGCAGCCCTGCTGAAAAGATCCTGGGAGTTACCACAGAAACCATCCTGAATGCTCAACAGGGCATTCTCATCCTCAATAAGGCAAACAATGTGCCAGGCTACAAAAGGAGACACATGGCCCCAAGAAGCCTTCCCTCTGCTCTGCCAGAGGATTCAGGTCAGATATTAGGAGGATGCTGGGAGACTTGCACTGGGTGTTAGGAAAAGCCTCACCAACAGAGTGGTGCAACCCTGGAACTGGTCAGAGAGGTGGGAAGGGATCTCCATCCTTAGAGGTTTGCAAAACTTGGCAAGACAAAGTCAGTCACAAAAACCTGGCCTGGTGCTACTGTTAGCCCAGCTTTGAGAGGTCTCTTTCAGCTGCTTTCCTACAACTCTACCAAGTACTGTTAAGTAGTATGTGGCTATTTAATGAAACACAAATCTTTGTCAGACACTAAGAGACTCTGCCCATTTTGCTCTCCATAGCCTTTTCACAGCAGAAGTCTGACAGTACCAAGAATACTGAAGAACAGAACAAAATCTGAGCTTTGAAAGTATAATCTCCAAGTTGTAAAGACAGGCAGAGAACTGTCACACTCATTACAATTCTGGGCCTTGACACATCACTGATGGACATTTCATAGTTGATAAGGTTAAATATGTACTACAGACAATACTGTTAAAGTGCTGTATTCAAGCCACAAGTCAGGACACAGAATCCTTAAGCAATTAACACTAAAAGCTCTCCTACACTTACATACACTATTTGCAAGCACAGAACCAGTTTCAGTGAAAAATCCCAGAGAATTTTCCCAGCCCAGCCTGAACCTCTCCAGCCTCTATTACCCCCATCTCCTTTTGCATATGATGCACTCCAGGTTAAGAGCACTAGCTTGTCTTCTGTAACTGCCCTTTCAGTAGTTGTAGACTGCTACTAGATAGCCCCCTTGCTGTACTCTTTGCCAGGCTGAAGAAGCCCAGCTCTGTCCATCTGGACTTGTGGATCATGCTCTAGCCCCACCCCCAGTATTTCAGGTAGTACCTTCTGTGTGAAGTTGATGGAAAGCAGAGTTTAATGTGAATGGCTGTATCAGCTCAGACCAAGCTCAACAAGGTACCATAATAAGGAACATGGCTTCCCAAGAATGAAGCTCAAGGGAAGCCACACCCTTTGCAGAGGTGAGGGACTGCATTCACATTCTTGATTTGGCTTAATTTAAAAAAATGTGACCATAAACAGCCCCCCATGGAAGGGTAAGCAAAAGATAAGGACATCAACACACCCCTCCAATATTCTCCTAACTCCTAGCCATTTTCAGTTCAACAAGTATTTCTGATGCATTCACAACCCTACAGAAGCAGTCTGCTACATTGTTTAAATCCATGTAACCTTCTGACATCAACAATCTCTTTCCAAAGAGATCTACAGGGCAAACGCCCACATGGAGAAGGACCCTCATGCTTGTCCCAGAGACTCCAACTGACAGCTCCCACTTGTGCTGCACAGCTCAGCAGCTGAACTCTGTCCTCTTTATGTTGTCCCAGCCCTTTTATCATACCTTTCGGATAGCCCTTCAAGGCTGACTCCTAACTTATAAGGTCATTCCACCTCAGTTTTTTTCCCCAGCCAGTCTCACAAAGCCCTTCAGGAGATCTCCCCCTCAGCCTGTCCCTGGCCTCCCCAAACCACCTCACACCACAGCTGGCACCCGACTCCAGCGCGGCAAGGACCGGCGAGAAGCAGCAAGC